TGGTGAAACTCAATAAATAGTAACTTATTATTTTTTAACATATATAGCATCTATCTGGTTTTTCTTATTTTTTCCATTTCTTTGCTGAAATCACCCATCCTCACTAATTCTTCCCACCTTTCCCTATTTAAGATAGACGGTAGACAGTTTAAATTCTTTTCTGCCAATTCTTGTATCTGGATCATCTGTGGTTTACTTCTGCTGCTGTTTCCCCTTGGATATAAGTTTGTTTCTGCCTCTTCACAGGTCCTGTAATTTACTGTTGCATCCTGGAAATTATGTATGGAAGAGTGAGAACTGAAGAATAATACTGGTTCTCTTCCCTCTGGAAATTTCCAGCTCTTCTCTCCTCTGTTGACTAAAGGGAGGAGGTGATTATTCACATGTCAGCTCACCTCGCCTCAGCCCACTGGCATCCAGCTTCCTAAGGAAGGGCCAGTCTCAGTTCTTATCAGGGTTTGGTCTGGCATTCCAAATGCCCAATTCCCTTTGGGTGCCTCAATTTCAGGTCTCAGGAGAAGGTGGGAGATGGGGCAGATGGAATGACTTCTTTCTGTTCGTCGTGGGCCCTGCCTTCACTTCCGTGGTTTTTTTTCTCAACAGGGGCGGGTGGATCAAAGCATTATTGTCCTGGATCATCTTTCAGACTCCAGGGCATCCCACCTCTCGCCACCCTTGCTGAGGCTCAGCTGACCTGTCTCCACCCAGTGAAGTTCCGGGTCCTGCCGCTCGCCTGCATCCAGACCCACCAGAGCTCACGTACAATGGGCTCCTCTCTCTGGAGATCAGTTCATCAAGACTTTCTTGTCTCCACTGTTCCTTGATATCCATGTATACGGAGGATTTTTACATTCTCCAGATTTCTCTCTGTGCTCCCATGGGGGCTCAGGTCTACTGCATCCCAAGTGGAAGCAAAAGTACCTAGAACGGCAGCTGTTACTCTGAACATGAAGGGCTTTCCCTATGTGCGAGCCATCCTGGCCCTGAGCTCGTGGGAGGCAGCCTGGCACTGAGGCTTGTCTTCTCCCAGGGAGCTGGACATGAGACCCACCGGATGGCTTATGTTTGAAGGCTGAGTTTTGAGTTTATAGCCATGCTTTATGGACCTCACTCATATCTCCCCACCTTTACCATTTCAGGTCCTTCCAACAGCCAGCCTCACACGTCTCTTTGCTTAAGGGTTTTCTCTGGACCCCAAAGTCCATCCTGCCTATGCCCAGAAAATTGGAACATAGGAGAATTCACATCCCTCAAAGGCAGTCCTTAGGCAACGATGGGGGAGGCTGGTGGGTAAACACCCCTGCTCCCTCCCCCTTGGGTGAGATAACTTGGAGGTCGTGTTCTACACCGTCTCCCAGTCCCCCCAGGAGCAGTCAAACCAGTTGCCCACATGGGGACTTGCTGGGAACACACTTTCCTCGGCTGCTTTTTCCTCCTTATCTCACTCCCCAACTTCCTGGCTGGACTGTCCTGGGATCACCTTTTAGCTAAACTACTTGAACTTGAACTTGTGGCTTAGATTCTCTTCTGGGGAAACCCAATCCAAGGCAGGTTTCCATTCAGAGGCACAACCTCTGGGTGCTGCCTGGGTTTGTGTAAAGAGGCCGGCACGGACAGGGTGTTAGTTGAAGAAAGGTAAACCCAGCCAAACGTAGGTGGACCTCACCAAAGAACACCAGGCCCGTTTCTAGGATCCAGGAGAGCTGACGAGGGGGCTCATGACAGCCTGTAATAACCGGAATATGAAAGTTCGGTATCTGGGATTCAGTTAAACTGTTTACTGTCTGTCTGTGGTTATGCTTTTAAAGCTTAATACACTCTGAATGGTAGATTTAAATTCATAAGTACGTTGTTTTGCAAAACTGGCATGAAATTCTTTCAATACAATCCCTGAGATACATTAGCAGGTTGCCTCCAGAGCTTGGGGTTCTCTCTTTGTTATTATTTTTTGCTCTTAAATAAAGAAACCTTGCAGGACCACAGCCCTGTAAACGTCTTGGCGGGATGCCAAGCATTTCTCTAGAAGCCACTTTCTAAGAAGCAATTTCCTTCCTGTCCCGTAAAACTCCCCAAAGTACCTCAGGCGAACACCAAAGCACTGGTTATGTTTGCAAACTGCAAATACAGCAGACATTTAATTCCATCGAATTCATCAAAACCCTAATTGAGACAGGAACTCAAACCTTATGGCTTTATTACTTTAATTTCAGATGGGTAGCAGACTTGGTCACAAGCAGCCCTTCATGCCGGGATACATTAGAGAGAGGCCCACGGGCACTCACTGGTAATTCTCCCAGCAAATGAAAGTGCGGAGCAATGTAAATAACACTGCTAAGTGAGACCCACGACCAGATTTATCAATCAGCGCAATTCCCCATATCCATCGTTCGCTGTAACTAACGTTCCTCTGCACCAACGTCACTGCCCGGGAAGGCTTCTCAATAGGTAAGGCAGTGCCTGTGTCTCACAGATTTTTGTTTTCCTCCCACTGATCAGAAAACACAGAGGCAAGGACCAGTCCTCTGAGCTCATTGCTCTACCAACTCGTCCTCCTCTTGATTCTCATTTAGAAGACCTTCCCCCTGACTTTCCTGTCCCTCCTCACCAGGCATCCTGTGGCTGTTCCACTATTTCATTAAAAAGTTCTGTCAACGGCTGGGTCAAATTACTGCAGGGACCTAGGGTGGAATCTAGTGGCAGGGACCCCAGGGAACCTTATTCTTCTGAGGGCTGATCATGGTGTCTAAGTTTTATTGAGCATTTACCATGTGGGCCAGGTGTTGCTTGATGCTGAACATGTTATGTTTCATCCTTACAGCGATGCTAGGAGGTAGATGCCCTTGTACCCATCTTATAGACAAGAAAACTGAGGCTTAGAGAAGTAAAGTAACTTCTCCAAGGCTCCACAGTCAGCAAATGGCAGAATCAGGATTCAAACCCAGGCCGGTCTGATCCCCAGCCCCATGTTCTTCCCAAAACATCATTTTTCTCCCTCTGCGAAGACTTCCGGGTTCTACAAAGGTCTGAAAAAGAGAGCTGGGTGGCCTTGCAGCTTTCTGAGTGGACACAGGACAAGGAAAGTCAGAAGGGAGGGCCGGCCCCCAGAATCATCCCATGGGCTGCTCCTAACACCATCGTGGTGGTTGGTGTTTCTCTCCACAATCACGTGAGATGAGCTTCGCAAAGACCTTCCCGGGGTGGTGGTGGGGTGAACTGACTGATACCAGCACTTGCTAAAGTTCAAGAAGCAATGTGTCTTTTCTATTCTAACCAAGCCAGTGATTACCCTCATTGCTAGTAACTTATGAAACACAAATGCATTCAACCCATCTCCTATGTAATTAGTTGCGTGGTATTTACTCGGCACTTTCCAGCCAGTTGTTTCTTTTCTTTACGTTACTTCTCCCCCTTTGGGTCTGACTTTGCATCAGGCTTCAGGTACCAATGACTAATGAACTAGTGACAGCACTAATACTCATACTGCTAATGGTGACGATGCTAATTAAGACAGTGCTGACAGCCCCAGGCTCTGCAGAACGTGGCTTCATCTCTGGGAGGCAATGAGAGGGCGGCCCGCACAGGTGAGAACCAGAAAGTACAGATGGCCCCGAAGGCAAAGACGGACACTCATTTTTTGTGATACTAACCACGTTTATAGGAGATCTAAAAAAAACGCCACATCGTGGGTCCACAAAATCTAAGACAAGAGATAACCGACTGAAAGGATGAAGAAAGAAAATGTTCAGTCTTGCAAGTTGGGTGGAACTCAGTCACCGCGTGTGGACCCAGCTGCCCAGCAGCTTCCTCTCAGAAGTAAGCGTCCAACTGTGGGCTCTGGAGCTGACCCCTGACGAGATCAAGGTGTCACTCTGCCTTGCTGCCCAGAAGCATCGAACCCACCAGGCAACCCAGACAAATCAGTCGGCATAAGGAAGACAGACAGGAGTGAAAAGCAGGTGATGCGGAGGGCAGTGGTGCCGGGGCGCAGCCGGCATTATAGACTCTGGAGTCTGCCTGAGAATTGGGTTGAGCTGGGTGCCCCTGGCCAGCTGACCACACGACGAAGGGTCTGGAAAAGGATGTGGGAGAAGGTTTGCAGGAGCTTCCTTAGCCCTGCAAACCAATCAGCTGCTTCCAGCAGGACCCTGCATCCTCCCTCCACAGCCAGGAGGCTGGTGGGGTCACCCGGTGCCTCAGTACTGCATGCTGGGGACCCTCGTGGGCTAGTGACTAGAACTCGCTTTTCCTGGAAGATACAGAGTCCTGGCTGTTTGGGCAGAGAGCTCAGGACTGTGTTTCTGAATAATCTCCCTACGAAGAAACTAGGGCATCAGAGCTGGCCAGGGTGGCCGCAGACCCCCAGCTACCCACTGCAATGCTGCGGGTGCCCAGCAGCCTCATTACTTTGGTGACTTCGGGTGTCTTCCCAAGACTTTCCAAGACAGACACCGGACGGACACAGGCCCCACAACACCTCCTGGCAGCGGAATAGTCTCTGTAGATACAAGGCAGGCACGCAAAGCCCCTCATGACTCCCAAAGTAAGCTAAAGTGGACACAGAAGTCAAATGCTTGATCGTTGTCGAAAAAGAGAGAACTCGCCCCAAACTGTGACAAGTGCAAACTGTTTTTAGCAGAAAAAGAAAATCTGTCGTTTCCTCTCTCTCTCTCTCTCTCTCATTTACTCTATTTCCATTCCTAAGACTATTTTCACATCATTCTAGTTCAGTTCAGTAACACATCAAAATGAGTGTGACACGTTCAGATTCGCAGGCTGGTTACTTATTCACATGGATCCGCGCACTCCACGACCCATCGTCACGGAGACCGAATCATGGGTTTCCAGTCCCGGCTGGGCCAGCCTCCTGGGGTGTGAGACCCCACGTCGCCCTGCCCAAGGCCTCTGGCCCACACGTGGGTGCGCTCCAGGGAGGCAGGCCCCCGACTCACCTCCGCGCTGCCCCTCCCCCTCCCCATGCCACGTTCTGCTGCCAGTCTTACCTGCCCGGCGAAGAGCCCGCAGACGCCGATGATGCACAGGATGTTGAACACGGCGGAGCCCACGATGGTCCCCACTCCCACGTCACCCTTGGTGATGAAGACGCCTGAAACACAGACCAACATCGGCTGCCTGCGGGAGGGGCTGCACCCAAGGCGGGTGCAGGGGAGCTTTTGTAAGCGTTAGACTGTTCTCAGGATCTACAGGAAACAGCAGGGGGTTGGAGAGAGCTTGCTAATGTCTGTTGGGCCCTCTGTCCCACAGAACCATTGGTGCTGGTTCTGGAACCCATTGATGCAAAGCAAAAGCATCACTTTAATAAAATATTAACAGCAACCCCAGCGGGTGGGAGGCTGGTGTTCTGCCCCTTGGGGTCTCAGGGTTCTCGTTTCCAGAGGCCCTGTCCTTCAGGGAGAGCAGGGCTGAGACGTTCCCCAGGTGGGCACCTACCTATGACCGATGTGAACAGCTCTGGAGCTGAACTGCCTGCTGCCATGAACGTGGCCCCAGCCACATCCTCGCTGAGGTGCAGGCGCTGCAGAGGAGCAAAAGCACAGGTGAGTCGGGATTTTCCTGGAACGGAGGTGACTGTGACTCCCCGGGTCCCAAGCTCAGTCCATCCTCAGCCTCCCCTTCTTCCCCAGCTCAGCCTCTCCGGCCCACCCCCGCTCTGGGCCACACCTCCTCTCTGGGGCAATATCAGGGAGGGGGCTACATGTTCCCTCCAATTAAAGGCTCTGACAAGATCCAGGGATCCTAAGCCAAGTGCCCCCGGGGCTGCACAGATAACGGGGGGATGGGCACGGGCCATGTGAGGCAAGCGGGACTTCACCTCCTTTTTTTTTTTTTTTTTTTTGCGGTACGCGGGCCTCCCAATGCCGTGGCCTCTCCCGTTGTGGAGCACAGGCTCCGGACACGCAGGCTCAGCGGCCATGGCTCACGGGCCCAGCCGCTCCGCGGCACGTGGGATCTTCCCAGACCAGGGCATGAACCCGTGTCCCCTGCATCGGCAGGCGCACTCCCAACCACTGCGCCACCAGGGAAGCCCCACCTCCTTTTTAAAAGCTCAGTGCCCTCTGTGTTGCAAACTATCCCTACTTAAAGAGACCCCCAAATACACATTTTTACATAAAACATTCTGATTTTTTTCATTACTATGCTGACGATCTTGGGCTACATCAGGCTCCTGGTAAGCAGTTTTAAAGCCTTGAGTCTAGGAGGCTATGGAGGCTTTTGGGAGTGGGGAGGGTCACCCTCCTGAAACCCACCCCCATTCGCAATGCAGTCTTGAATCCCGGGGTAGGGGGAATATGGGGGGTGGTGAGAATGAGTACAAAGAGATGATGAGCCCCGCCAAGATAAGCTACACGATGAACTGTCCAGGTTACCCGGTTTGTTGATCCGAAAGGTGATCTGCAAGAAGACACGTGACACTGAGGCTGGGTAGTGTGGGGAGCTTTTCTGCATCCAGTCCAGATGCAGAAAGGAAGCTGCTGGCTGTCAGGAAAGAGCCAGCTCCCTCCGGGCATCCCAGCTAAGAGTCCCCGGTCCCTCTTCCCGGCGGCACCGCAGCTGCACTTCCCTGCTCAGCCATGGAGGGGCAGCATGGCCTCGGCCAAGGCCACCAGCTCGAATGACCATCAAGAGGCTGCCGCCAGAGCCCTACTGAGCCTTTTGACCTGGAAACCTGGGTTCCCTCGATCTTGACTGAAAAGCTAAACGTTGCATGTGGTTCTGAGGAGACCCTAAGATGGAGGTGCTGATACCTCAAGGTGAAAGGTGTGGCTGTGAGCGGTGCCAGGCATCCCGTCTCACCGGGCAGGTACCCCAACAGTGCTCACACTCCGTGGCTGGTTTGTCCTCTCCCTGCTGCGTCCGCTCCAGCTCGGGCATTAGCCGTGGACCCCACAGCCGGGCTGATCTCCTGTTCCTCTCACTCCTTCGTTCACTCACTTTGCTTCTTCCTCCTTCACCTCCCCGCCCCTTTCACCCCTCATTCACTTTGGCCCTGGCCACCTGGCACTGGGTGCTCAGAGTCACCAGCTGGGGGGTCTTCCTGCCTCAGGACCCTTTCCATCTATCGGAACAGTCCTCAGAAGCTTTCCCAGCTCCCTCCTGATGCCCCAGCCCCCTCCTGATGCCCCAGCCTGGTGTCCTCAGGGCTCCCCACACGCAGGCACGCTGAGTCCCGCCCCGGGTTCTCCAGGCTTGGTTCACCGGCTCAGACTCTTCTCGGCTTAAATATCCATCCTTGTAAGATGTTGCCACTGAGACCGCTGCTCCCATCTTGCCCCTGCACAATCCCTTCCCCGATCCCAAGGCCCAGCCACTCTCTCACCTCCTTTTCCCTCTGCATCTCCAGCTCCAGCGCTTCACCTGCCCCTGTGTCTCACTCTGGAGCTGCCCCGCGTCCCACGGCCCCGTGATGCTGTGTTTCACCCTGATTCCTCCCCAAGGGCTGTGCTCACAGGTGCTATGGGTCTCCTCAATGAGGAGAACATGTTCTGACAATTGTATGTACATTTCCAGCACGAGGTCTTAATGTTGCTATTAAAAAAACGTGTGGGACAGAGCGTAGTTCGCTTCGCATGAGGAGTAAACTACCAAATGGTGGATTTCAGAGGTCACAGCTGAGCCCGATTACAGGTGCTTCCGTGCTTTTCTCCTCTTCTCCATCAGGCGACCCTGTGCTCACGTTCAATCACTTTGGACAAAAGGCTTCCACGCTGGCCGGCGTCCATCTCAGAGAACAGATCACCGATTTTCCTTTCCCACTTCCCACCTCCACTCCCGGGGCCTCTCCACGGTTGCTGTGGCATGACTCTCTTTTATTGCTTTAAGTACACAAAACTAACAGACTTCAGAACGTGGAAGAAACTGCTTCCGCTAGCAGTTCTCGAAGCGTGTCTTCCAGACCAGCAGTCTCCACATCACCTGGGAACTTAATAGAAATGCTACTTCTGTTCCCCACTGTCCCCCAAGACCCAGTGAATCGGACACTGGGGGGAAGGGAGGGAAGAAAGGGAGGGTCAGCCCAGGCTGAAGGCTACGTGAAGGAGCAGGCGCTCTGGATGGACAGGAAGTGCATCTGGGGAAGAGACCCCTTCTGCAAAGGGGATTCTGAATTAAAAATAAAAGAAAACAGAACGCTTCCAGATAAAGCAAACTACATTTCAAACCAGAAAAAGAGATGAAAGAAGCAAGAGAATGAAAGAGTTCTAGATATGCTAAGTGTTTTCAGATGAAAGGGGTGTAACTTGGTGTTCAGCCTGGCGTTCACCGGGCTGATTTCCTGGTCTCTGTGGCCAGTTCTTTCATCGCCTTGCCTTTCAGGCCTCTGCCTGGAGCGTCTCTGCACATACACGGAGAGGAAGGGCAGTGGAGGTACGGCTGAAGACTTCTCACTCTGTGAGGACCCCACGAATCGAATCATGAGGGAGGGTTACGGCAGCGGCAGAAGGAAATGGCAGTGAGGAGTGGAGAAAGGAAGAGCCAGGCTTAGAAAGCAGGAGCAGAACACAGGCAGTACCTTGAGTTATGCCCAATGGGGCAGGGACCACTGGCCGTGAGGGTTAAAGCCCAACTGCGGATCTGCACACTGAAACTCTAAGCAGGTTGGAGATGTGTTTGCACTAATACTGCCATGGCTCTGAAGCATGCTGGTGCCTGGCCTTCCCACCCCAGCTGCATGGAGGGCTCCCCAGGACCTCAGTGGGGGAGGATGGAGCAGTGCCGGGGCTCAGACACATACCTCACAGATCTTTTCCAAGGAGGGGACAAAGAAGTCATCACACACTATCGCCAGCGCATAGAACATGTACATGGCCTGGAAGAGAGGAGGGAAGGGGTTAAAGTCAGAGTCACGACACCATGTAAAAGTCGTTGCAATGCCTGCCACCTCCCACCCTCCCATCTTGTCCACCTCCTAGGTCCCCAAACACACCACGGATGCCTGCCCCAGGGTCTTTACACGTGCTGTTCCCTCTGCCCAGAACACGTTCCCCCACATCAACTTGGCTCCGTCTTCCATGTCCTTCAGGTCCCTGGGTTAATGTCAATCAAAGCAAGGGGCCTTGGAGTCCCCTCCCTTCCCTTTCTCTTCACCCCCCTTATTCTGCTTTGTTTTTCTTGACCTATTTTATGTTTGATTAATTTGTTTGTTGTCTCTTTCCCCCTCTAAAAGTCCATGAGGGTATGAACTTTATCTCATTGATCCCCAGCACTCAGCACAGGGCCTGGTGCATAGTAGGTGCTCAATAAATTTATGTGCAATGAAGGAACAAATAGATGAATACTTCCTACTGAGTTTGTTCACGCTCCTGTTCCCTGCAGGACAGCCCCTGCAGTCTTGCTTCCATACCCTTGGTCAACCATAACCAAGGCATTCCTTGGAATTCTACCTTTGGGCCACAAATCACTTCTCTACCGTAACCAACTCTATGTCTCCTCTCTAATTAATGAGATCTTATTTGCAGTCCATTGTTGGTTGACCACTCAGCATCCATCCTCCACTCCTTCCTAATAGGACCCCAGTTTCGCTCCCATGTGGAAGGTGGCTCCACCCTTTCCTCCAGGAGTAGATCACCCTGATGAGCCAATCAGGGTGCAGTATTCCACAGGGACGGCTATTGGTTCAGGGGTGGGCACATGATCTTGGCTGGGCCAATCAGGTGGCAGGAAAGGCTTTACAGTCCTTGCCACAGAGAGTGGGTCCACACCCTCCAGCTGTGGACCAGGAAGCTGGGAGTCCTGACTGCCATTGGCCAACAAATTGAGAGAACTCTGACTTGAGATGAAGTTGACCCTGAGTCAATGTAATGACGTCACTGAGCCATTGATCACATGATCCCTGAGCCACCCCCTGCCTCTGGACTTCATAGCATAACATACCGGCAAACAGGCCCATTTGATTTGGAGTTTCCCTGTTACTTGCAGCCCCAAACCTCTAATGGGCGTGGCTGCTCATCCTTCAAGTTCCAGCGTCCTCAGGAGTCACTTCTCTCTCGTATTTTGACCTCCCAGCATCTTTTCCTTTGGCTAACTGCTCTGCAGGAAGGGCCTCTATCACATACCCCACCCGCCTCACTACAGCGTATGGGCACTGGAACACGCCATTCTCCATCAGGCAGTGGTGGGTGGGCAAGAGGTCTGCAAGGGGCCAGGCAGGGGTCAACAGAGAAGCTGGGAAAGGGGGCCTCTCCCCTTGGAGATAAAAGCACCACCTGAGTCTGCAGCTGCCCTGGAGAGCCGGCCTGAGAGTGAGCTCACCCAGCAAGGAGCCGAACCAAGTGGCAAGACAGGTGGATACACACATGTGTGCGCACACACACACACACACACACACACACACACACACACGTGCCCAGTGACACCATGTGGACTCTGGGCCCAGCTCAGCCTGAAACCAACGTGGACTCTTCAATTTCATGAGCTGATAATGTGCCTCTGATACTTAAGCTGATTTGCATTTCTGTCACTTGCAGCTGTCCTTCTAGAAGCCTTCTGGAGCAACTCAAGCATGAGACGATCTTTCTGGCCTCTGACTCTTAGCTGTTGTACTCATTTAGACACTCCTCCCCCTTTATGAACTGGTTCTCTTTTTCACATCTATGTGCTTGGTCTTTTAAACCAGATTGTAAGATTCTAAAGTGCATCTTAACACTTGATTCTGTGGAAGTATCAGACAAGGGCACAGGAACGTATGCAACAGGGATATTCATTCCAAAATGCTGATTATAATAAATTATCAAAGCCTAACAAAATATACCATAGGGGATGGGTTATAGAAGTAATGATTCATCATTCAAGGAAATACTGTTAACAGGGATTATGTAAATTCATATTTAGTGACAAGGAAAGGCATTTACGATCCCTTGTTAAATAAAAAATGCTATAAAACATTGTGTACAGCCTCTTTTTTGTTAAATTATCTATGTATATGAGAGCATACATATACACACACTTATATATTGATATTTGCATATAAGAGTTTGTAAGACCATAAATCAAAATAGTTTTTTCCTTGGTTGGTGTAACTCTATCTGTACTTTATAATTCCTATCCATATTTTCTGATTTGTCCACCTTGAATTTGTGTTTCTTATGTGATTTTTGTAGGTGGTGGGAGATCTGAAAGGTCAGGACTCTTTCTTACACTTTTCTAATCTCTGGTGAGCCCTGGGAAGCCAGCCATGCCGAGAAGCCTTAAAAGCCAGCCATGCCGAGAAGCCTTAAAAGCCTTTCTACTGATTGGTCTATTCATAAGCGGTACAAAGATTTTGCCTGTGGGGTGTTTTTTCGGGGGTGGGGGAGTGGAAATGTCAATTTAAAAAAAATTAGTGCTGTATTTTATAGCTTTGTGGGTGAGTCAGAATATACGTTCCCAAGTTGCAATGGACTCAAACCCTCTTTTGCCGTATGATGTGGCCGATCCCATATTATGCAGGCTTTATCATTATATTTGAAGGGACAGCCAAATGCAGTCATTGGAATCCAGAGTTACACACATCTGTGGATTAACCAAGAATTAGACAAGCTGTCCGTAGCTGACATACTCAACAGGCTAAAACCCCCAAGGCCGCTTACAAGTCCATGAACTCTCTCTCCAAGACCACGTTCCAATATTATGTGTTGATCCTGTTTCGAGGCAAGAAGCTCCAGCTAACGCATGGCAACGTCAGCACCTGGATTAGGACCAGAAATGAACAGATCTGCCAGGCTCTCTGTGCTTTCAAGGGTGATGGCCGTCGAAAGCCACGTTAGTGCCGTGCACAAGGCAGCGTGAGGTGGGGACGCCAACCCTCAGATACCCTGGGACAAAGCTCCTCTGACACCCAGGGGCCTGCCAGGCCATGGGGCTCCTTTCCAGCTGCAGAGCACCTCCTGGTATCTGAGGGCGGCATGCCACTTTGCTTACAGGAAACTCTCTTCTAACCATGTTACCCACTGGAAATCGGGTTCCCACCGGAAGAACAAACGAAACAGAACAAGATACTGATGGGGATGCTGCGTGTGTGTCGGGGGCGGAGGGATGTGGGAACTCTGTATCTGCTGTTCAGTTATGCTGGGAACCTAAAACTGCTCTTAAAAAGGTCTACTACTAATAAAAACACAAAACCAAAACAGCATCAAGGAACAAAACAAATGGACAAAGTCAAACTTGAAGAGGCAGAGGGCCTACTGGAAGTGTGATATCGATGGTGCTATCAATACCACTGGTCCACGTAGTTTAGAGAATGAGGCATTTGGGGATTAATTTGACCATTCCTATATTTCCAAAGGATATAATAATACCATCACTATTAATAACATTTGCCACTCTTCGTGGGGCCAGAAACTTAGGCCTGCTCCGGTCCTTCTCAAGGACTCTCTCACTCAGTTCTTCTAATTCCCATGGGAGGCAGGGCGTTACGGACCCGTCTCCCAGGCACCTCAGAGAGCATCGTAACTCATCCAAGCACCCTCTCCAGGCCTTCCCATGGGGCCCGGCTGCCGCCCACTGCAGAGGTCGTTTCTGATTTGCTACCCCATTTCCACTCTCTATTTTCAGCTCACCTACTAACAAGCTGTCTTCTCCAACCACACAGAGGGAGGGACGGTTTCAGAATCCTAGCCATCCACTTTTGGGGGCTGCCGTTTCGGAGCCACTGATGTCCTTATTTATTTACTTATTTATTTATTTTTAACATCTTTATTGGAGTATAATTGCTTTACAACGGTGTGTTAGTTTCTGCTCTATAACAAAGTGAATCAGCTATACGTATACATATACCCCCATATCCCCTCCCTCTTGCGTCTCCCTCCCACCCTCCCTATCCCACCCCTCTAGGTGGTCACAAAGCACTGAGCTGATCTCCCTGTGCTATGCGGCTGCTTCCCACTAGCTATCTATTTTACATTTGGTAGTGTATATATGTCCATGCCACTCTCTCACTTCGTCCCAGCTTACCCTTCCCCCTCCCCATGTCCTCAAGTCCATTCTCTACGTCCATAAATATACCATTTACATACAAGTATAAACGTGATCAGCATGAATACGGGTAAACCCTCGCTACCTCTGTATTTTGAGTGAATCCCTATTTTCCTTTATAAATGAATGGACCACAACCAGTGTTGCAATAAAAATCTTTAAACATATATCCTTTTGCATTTCTAGGATAAACTTCCAGATGGGGAGTTGTTAGATGATGTTCTTTAATGTTATTATTTTTACAAGGTGCGCTACAAAACACAAGACAGATTGGAAGTCTCAAAAATGGCTGAGCTGGCCCAGTACCCTGGGGCCGCCCACATGGAAACTGGTCCACGTGGAAACTGCAGCCCGGCTACAGCAACCAGGGCAGGCCCATGCGGGCCATGTTCTAAAGATGAGTGACGGTGTCTGGAGAGGAGAGGGGCACCTGTGTGAGCTTCAGCTCAAGTCTCAGACCACAGGGGCTTCTCTTCCCCAGGAACCTAACGGGGCATCTGTACTTTGACATCGACCATGTGCTGCCACGACCACGGGCCCTGTTTCAGGTTTATGTATCTGCCTCCCTTCTCTTGAAGGGCAGCATCTGTGTCCTTCACACCTTCCTCTCTACCCCGTTCCAAGCTTGCACAGAATGAGGGCCCCACTCACCTGGAGTGAATGGGTTCCAGGAGGGGGGGTGCTCACAGAGTAGCTGGTGTCACCTTCGGAAGCCGTCAAGGGAAGTGGCCGAATAGCATGACTGGCACGGCAGCTGCTGCCAGCCATCCGCACTCTCCCAGCTGAGGCTGTCAGAGGTCAGCTGGTGAGCAGCTTGGCCTCAGACGTGGGCGAGCCCCGCTGAGCCTGGCCAAGCTC